TAAATAATATATAAAGAAAATACATTTCCTACCAATCCGCTGCTAAACACAACTGCCTCTAGTTATTATTATTAGTAATAGATTTATAGCCCAGAGTATTGTTCAGCTTGAATAAGAGTTTAATTACCTAGTAGAGGAGGGAATTAGCAACAATAAGATAGTAAAGCTGTTAATTAGAATATTTAAATTGAGACTGATTGAATTATTTATACCCTGTAAAATTCAGCTCTAACAAGACTTGAGCTATAAAAGAGATTTATTGGCTGTTCGCTCTCACATGCTAATCATTTTAAATTCAAAATGTATATAGAAAAGTGACTGAGAGAGAGAGAGAGAGCGAGCTAGAAAGGGAGAGCGGGAAATTTAGAAATATTGCCTCACATGTGTGGGGGTCAAACGGGCCTTCAATCAGCTTGATAAGCCTCAAAGAGAAGCAGCTCCAACTCGCTTGGCATCTTTCTCTTTGTCGACCTTTGTGGCTGTTGCTGCGTCTGTTGTTATTGCTGTCTCTATCAGTGTCTTATCTCTGTCTCTTGCTTGGGTTGAGTCAGCTCAGCATCTCGCGGCTTATTTAAATAATTGCAAGCGCTTTCGGCTGTTCAGTTTACCAGACGCTGCGAGTGAAGCAGCTTCGCCTCGACGTGCCGGTTTTTGAGCTTTGATAAAGTGAAATTTGCAAATTGAAAATAAAACCAGAAGCATTAATTAAACATAACAAAATGTGGAAGAGTTTAAGCGTACTAATGCTGATTGGATTTATCGAACTGGCCCAGGCTCAGCGGCCATCCTTTGCTGGCGCACGGCCGCCGGGCGGGCTCAGCCAGAAGGACAAGTATAACGGCGCCCAGAACACGGCCGTGGAGAACATATCTGGCGTGGACATTGCCACACGCTTCGGCTCGGATGCAGTGCCGCAGCAGTCGCAAACAGTCAACTTGGCCTACGGCGCCTCGCAGAAGCCGCCAGTGGGCGTGCCCCTCGTGTTCGCCGTAAGCAGCAATGAGCCCGTGGTGGCATCGAGTGTGGTGCCGGCCACCGTTGACGTGGCCAACCGCTTTGGTGGTGCTGCTTCTGCTGCCAGTGCCCGCCCTGTGGTCAGCACCCAACCCAACGCCAGTGGGGCGAGCCCTCCACCCACTCCAAGTGTCGTCAGGCCCGTGGCGAATGCTTTGCCCATCGATGCGCATGGAGATCAGAGCTATGTTGACTACCTGAGCCAGCTGCCCCAGGATAATCAGCCATTCTGGTTCCTCAACTACCAGGCCATCGAGGCACTGAGGAACAGCTCGAGGCCGAATGTTGGTGCTCTGGAGACGCGGGGATCTTTCTTTGCTGGCTAAAGCTCGTTTCCCAACCACTCAAGAAATAACAATACTCTTGGCTAATTAAGGCCCACACAAGTGTGTGTGCGTGTGTGTGGGTGTGAGTAGAGAGTGTACGTACGCTTACTCAGCAACTTATCTTGAAAACCGGGAGGAAATACCAAAATCGTGGGGAATGAATTGTGATTTTTCAAGCGATAAGATTGCCATTTGACATATGAATAGAGAAAATATAATATACAAATTATATTACAAAAGCAATATGCAAATTGTAATTGCATGGGAACTGTAAAGGCCCCCACTCAATAGCAATTAATAAATCTATATATATTAAATAAATATTATTTATTCAAACTTATTGGACTGCTGTTTATTTGAATGTGTCTATTTTGGTTTTTATCTCCATTTTATAGAAGCAATATGCGAATGTACGGGTATAATAAAGACCCTATACAATATTAATATGTAAATAATTTTTATTCAAATTTATTCTTCTGCTACTGATATTGTTATATCTATTTGGAGTTTCAGCAACAATTATTCTTTTTTTCCCGTTTCATACATATAGAGAAAATACATCATACGAATGATATTTATTATTAAGGCAACATGCAAATGTTGCATGGGAATTTCAAAGGCTCTATCAATCTCAATATATAAAGTAAGTATATCAAAGGAATCGCAATGAGACTTTAATACGAATATACTCTAGTTTCTAATTAGTTGGCCTCTTTTGTACCTTTTGTACACTGCAATATTGTCGGATTTCTATATTCAATAGTTCTATATTCAATATTGAACTCTGCATATTGTACTCAGAATATAAAATATATTATGAATCAGTTCTCTATTATAAATATTATCTATTATAAACTCATTTAATTCAATATATTCAATATTCCATCTATTCAGAAAACCTGATGAGAAATATCATGGTAAATCAAAAGAAAGTGGTCAATGATATCTTTGCGTTACCTTAGGGATCTTTTTATCAAAATTACTTTGCATGAAGGAACGTATATTTAAACTTGAATGATCTTTGTCATAAACTTTTTAATTACAGTTGAATAATAAAATGTATTTCTTCCTCTTTATGTTAAGACTTTTTTTTAATTATTTTAACCTTCAAGATTGTTATTGCACAGTATGCATAATCCCTGTTAAGCGAATTGTATCAACTTTCACTGAATATCTAACTTTTGACGGTTGAATCATATTCTTAATTTTACATAGCCATAAGGAAATGTTTTTAACTATAATTAGCACAGTAAATGCATATTAATAACGCTTTCATTATGCTTACGCAATTTTAAAACCAGTAACAGCATTAAAGTCGGGACAAACTGGCTAAATAAAAAATAATGGCTAAATAATCAATAATTCACTTAGGAATTTCCAGGCTTCCAGCTGTAAAATGAAATGAAAATTCTGTTTTTTATTTGAATATAGGAAATATAAATTTTCCCATTTGCCACGGCTCTGAAGTTAACTAAATATTATTATTAAATTTTATTATATTTCAATCTGATAATGATGATAACTATTACAGAAAAATACCTATATTTTCAACTACCAAAACGATTATAACAAAGATTAGCGGCAGTGGAAAGCACAAGTTACACCAACTATACTACATATATGCCCATCTATATATGCTTGAAGCGCATCATGCTCGACTTAGTATACAAGTCTTCAATAGACGGACAACAATAGTATTGAAACCTTTTAAACGCCTTTTAAAAGCAGCAAACAAAAAACGGAAAAACGGAATAATAGTAAAGAAAAACACATAGAAATAACAATTTATAAGCAGGCAAAGCATGAAAAATGCATTCAAAGAGCCAGAACAAAGGAAAAGTGGAGAAAATGCAGAAAAATGTGCAACAAAAACTCAACAACTTCAATATGCAATGGATGAAAATGGATGCAAACAATGAAAAGTGCTCCTTGGGCGCTTGTTAATGGCGAGTGAATTGCGAAAAAGTCGATACTGGAGCAAAAGTGTCAAGCACTGAAAATGCCGCTGAAAAAGTAAGGAGCAAAGAACGGAACTGGAAAAGTAAAAAGAATTGAATGCAGCTAAGTTCAACGCAGTTTAATAGACTCCAAACAAAACATTTTTATGCAAATAACARTCGATCAATCAATCAATCACAGGATCGTTTACCAGGCCAGCTGCTGGCTAGCCGCAGTGTAGGCAACCACGTAGGGCTGCTGACCTCCCACATAGTAGAGCTGTGGTGCGGGCAAGGCGGCTACCGGAGCCACCGGAACGGCTGGAGCAACTGGAGCCACTGGAGCCACTGGAACGGCTGGTGCTGCCGCCTCCACGGGCAACTCCTCCAGGCGGGCGATGCGCTGACGCTTGCGCTTGGGCTGTGCCTTGGCCAGCTGCAGCTTGGCCAATCTCTGGCGGCTGCTGCGCAAGCGAGCAGCAGCTGCTGGGGTGGTCACCTCCTCCAGCGAGTTCTCCTCTATGTCCACTTCTTCGACATCGGGCTGGAAGCTGTTTGCTGGCGGCTCCTCTTCGGCGGGCAGCTCATTCACATCCGTGGACGGTGGTGGGCCATAGATGAGCGCGGGCTCCTCCGGCTTCAACTCATCCGCTGAGGGGTATGGCGTGGGCTGCACCTCCTGCCTGGCGAACGCATGGCGCTGTCGACTCAAGCGCAAACGCCGTGGCGCCTCAGCGGTTACGTGAGCCACCAGGATGGCCAGGAGCAGCAGGGAGCTAGTGAGCTGGTAACGTGCCATGATCGTCTTAGTTGCTGTTAAGCTTTGTTGTCGATCGTATATGGAGCTTTTGCTTTTATACTCGTTGCTGGCCCCGTGTCAGCCAAGCTGCAACAATTCTAGACCACTCCACAACGTTCCGCATATAAAGCAGTCAATAATTTGATAGCCCACTCCAAAAAAAAAAAAAAAAAAAAAAAAAAAAAAAAAAAAAACAAAAACAAAAACATAAATACGAAGAAAAAACTAGTAATCCAAAAAACCATTGACCTGCATGATAAGCAGGCGCCGCACAGTGCCTCAATGCTTGTTTATTATTGGGCATTATGTTCAACTTCAAGGTGCAATATGATATGCAATGATGTATACGTAGTTATAATAATAATAATGAAAAGAAATATAAATACGTTTTTTTTATTACTTTTCTATTTTGTTAGAATATTAATTTTATTTTTATTACATATTTATTAAAATCATT